TTTATATCATTTTTTTACAAGTTTTCACGTAGTTAAATCCCCCTAGAAAAGAATTCAGTCCAAATTTTATCCAATCTTGACGCTTACCAAAAACAAAATGGTATTCTACCACGTGTTGGAAAAAGTATGTGTATTTTTTCATATATTTGCACGGTGTTTTTTTCTATTTTTCTGTTCAATGATGTTGTGTTGCAATGACACACTTAAAAGCTGGTCTCTTGCTAATTCAAATGGTTATATTTTAATGATTTTCAGAAAGTTCAATTCCAAAATCGAATGTTGAGCCTGCCAAACGACAACGTGCCAAATCAATGTTCGTTGATCAAACGGACCAGCCAATTGCGCCGACGACCAAACAGCCGATCAAGACGCCAAAAAATGTACATGCCACAATGGACGATATGCACTTTGAATTTTTCAATAAATTTGGCAGTTTCAATCATGGCCTAAATCCAAAGAACAATCGTCAACTAGCAAAGCCGCATCCAAAACCAAAATCCATGTGGGAGAATCTATTTGATGAATTTCAAGCCAAGCTTCAAGCAAAGCAAGCCAAAAACATCCAGAAACCTACATGAAAACCCATTATTTCGATTTAATACATCGATTTTATAGTGGAATAACCATATTTTTATCGACACAATAAACACGATACGCAATATTTCGGACAAATAAATTCCAATTGTCTTACTTTTTATTTATTTGAACGAGAACAGTTGCCGCGAAGTTAATAGATCCAATGAAATTAACTAAATATTTTTTATTTATTTCTGAAATTTTTCTTCTTTTGATCTTTCAAATAATTATGAGCTACAAAATGAGTTTAAATTCTTCCGTGAACATATTTTTTGTCACATTTGTGAGTTGGGATCCAGGCATACAACTATGTTTATTTCATCATAAGCTTTGTACTCAAAGTGAAATTCGTGGATGTAGGATGTGTCCATTACGAGTTATGGATTTTTTTTCTAAGCAAAGGTTGATGACCGCTCTCCAATGATCTTCTTTACTTAATGCCATATGATTGCCAATAATGATTAAAAGAGCAATTGGACGAGTCATAATTACATTAAATTTCTGAAAACAAATAAAGTAAATTAGTTGAACAGACACAAAACGTAAAGTGGCAAATACTGTTAAGGGAGGCTTAGGGCTTATATTTATACCTTTTTGTCCCGTAGAAAGCCCAAAGAATCAGTCCGAACTGTCGATACGATGACGATATTGCTCTCTTGTCCTTGATAGCTTTCTGGACATTTGATGCTGAGTTTTCCAAAATGCGATGTTTGCGATTCAATTAGTTTATTTTGGGCGCTGTATGGCGTTATAATAGCGATGTCTTCCAAAGTAACTGATTGGTCTTTCCATTTCCGTTTGAAGAGTTCATCCAAACAGAAAATCACGGCATCCACTTCATCTTGATTGATATAACTTGAACCAGATTTTACGCACGTACCATTGACGCTCCGAAATACAATTGGGAAGTTTTTATTAACCAAGAAATCTGTCCCAATGAACCAATCAGTTTTACCTAGAATAGATCATATTAATCAATTTAATAATAATTTAGTTATAAAATTCTTCAAGAAATCATTTCATGCCTTTCGGTGCTTCAGCTTTTAATGTTCTATTATAGAACAAATGATCAGATATAGACAAAATTTCCGGATGATTACGATGATTTCTTGTTAACTGGACAATGTAAAGAGGGTTGAACATTGATTCGGAATTTCGTCCATAAAGTGGCTGTTTGGATAAATATTCCATAAACGACGTTTTCATGCCCAATGCCGTGGCATTCTGTGACAATACTACAGCATCCAATTGATTCCAATCTCCAACAAGGACAATACTGCTGTTTATAATACCATTTTCATCCGTACATAATCCTTTAAGTGAAAAAAATTATTAAAAAACAAAAACCTGAATGAATAATGAAAAATTTCGAACAGACCAGCTATCGGTATCATCGATGTCATTTCGTTAACAAACCCGGCCTCGTCGATGTAGATGTGCGAAAAATGTTTTGAATTGAAGTGCATGTCCAGCCCACGCGATCTTGTTATACAACCTGCCGTTGAAAGCGTACATATAACCACTCTATAACTATACAACTTCTCCAAACATGGATATTCCAATCTTGAATTGATGTTGTTCGATATGCTTGCAATTTTGGGATCCATTTTCTCGATGTTATAAGAAGATGCATACATTCTTAAAATTTGTTTGTTATCGAGATGAACCATGAGTTTCTTAGCAATATCATCACAGGCCGAGTTTGATTGCGAGCAAACCAATACACATTTATCCGAAAACAATACGATTTCTGCGATGGAAGCAACCATCGTTGTGGTTTTACCAGTTCCTATGTAGAGATAGATAAGAGATAAATCAATGATGATTATTTTGTCAAAATATTATGCCCTTGAAGACGATATTCAAAATTTGACGAATTTTTTATTCACCTGGTGGACCGTACAATAAGAATGGGCGTGGAAAATTGGTCTTGTCAACGATAGCCCTGATGGCCATTTTTTGTTCATTATTCAAATTATTGGCGACAGGCGATCTAGAATTGTGACAAACGCAAAACGTGAAATAATCAGAGTTGTAATATTTAATTTGAAATATATAAAAAAATTGAAAGACGGAAAAGTACCTGAATTTTAGATCAAAATGAAGGGATGCCGACAATTCACTTTCATCATTGGCATACCTGGACTCAGCGATGAGTTGAGGAAACAATTTATGCTTTTCTATATATTTCAAAGCTTCATGTTGAATTTGGAAAGGTAGACGGTTGCCGTAAAATTTTAAATTGCATTCATTGGAGGCATCATCATTTCCCATTGAGTGGCTTAGTTGGACATTGATGTGTCTATTGTCACATCCAACTACTTTTCCAGACAAAAAACCTGGCATATCTGGTGATTTCAAAATAAAGCTATCGACAATCTTCATCTCGACGGCTCTTTTGTAGTTCGGCATGGTAGACTATAATATAAAAAAAACGAATTATTATCAATGATTCTAATCTATGAAAAAAGTTTGAAGAAAACAACAATCAATCATTATTCTGACCTCATATTTTATTTTGTAGGAGTTCGGAGAATCAGAGGAAGTATCCCGGAGCAGCTTGACTTTCTTCATGTCAAATTTTCGTGCATCCTTTGAAGAAGTGACTTCCTCCATCAAAAGCATAGTGGTGAAGGCATTAACATATGAATCAACGTCTGTTCTCATATTTTTCTCCAAATCAGTTTTGTATTCATCGAAGTCCGCTTTTCCAGTTTTACTGAATTCCAAATGTTCAATTAAATCGGGTATATCATAAAACTCCATTTTGGTCATTTTGAGTGTACCAAAATCTTTTGGAGCCGTCACTTTTTTCGGGATACGATTCATTTTTTTAATATCGAAGGGAGTATCATTGCCACGATATGATGAAGTGGCACATTCCGCTAAATTCTCATGAGATAATTTCTCGTTCACCAAAGTTGAGCTTTTCTTTGGTATTTTGAACTTCGACAATTTTCGGATTTTATTTTCAACTCCAGTTGCGATCGATCTGACTTGAATATCACTTAAATTGTTCCCATTTTCAATATTTGTGACTCTTCTACCTTGCTCTTCTGGGATGAAACTTTTTACTTCACTTTCTGGCAATGGATCATATAGTTTAATGAGAGCTAGTTGAAAATTTAAGAGGAAAAATATTAGATTACACATCAAAATTGTACAATGTCAAAGTAAATTATTCATTGGAAGAAAATGGTCATTGAACTTCGTTGAATAGATCGTAGTGTTTGACAAGTAATATCAGATTTGGATTGATATGCCTGGATCCATTCAGAAAAGTAAATTAAAATCAGATTTGCATTGATATGCCTGGATCCAGTGAAAAAAAAGAAGAAAATTGAAATCAAAAAGAAAAAAACGTACCACTTGATGAAGCTGGACTATTTGAAGAATCGTCAAATATCGATTGTATATCTTGTTCATCAAAAGCTGTCATTTGAACTGCTTCCAAGTAAACAGACCCAAGGTTCTCTTCATCACTTTCACCGTGCATATCATATCCACGATTGTGCACAGCCGAATCGAACATGTCATAATTCATCACTCCAAAATCACTGTAAATCATTTCATTCATGACCCGTTCTTGAGAGATTAAAGTGTCCGATGCTTCCCTTTCAGCCGATGAAATCAAAAGTTGGATTGGAGCTATTTCCAATTCACTTCCAAACATCGATCTATCCATCGAATTGGATTCATCATTTAGCATAACTGATACATTATCTTGAACTTGCGCAATATTTGACAAATCTCCAATGTGTTCCATTGCAAAATCAATCGTTGATTGTCCGGCGATTTCCTCATGAATACTTTCAACAACTGGAATATTTAGAATGTCCTCTGGCCCTATATTGACAACAAATGAGTGAGGAACATAATACAAAATCGTATAAAATAAATTTGTTTTTCATAGAGAAAAATTGGGTTAATATTTTTCATGAATAATGAAAAACAAATATAATGTTTCTTTTGTATATGTCTTGGCAATAAATTACAAAACCTACGGTCGATTTTGTATTGATACATGGTACATGACTCCGAAGGAAAAGATGTCCTTATGGTTTGAGTATCAGTCCCTTCACTTTCCCGAAGTGTGTTCGTTGGTTCATATCGACTGCGTTTTGTAGGACCTACCATAGTTGGGTCTGCGCTTCTTTTTGATCGAGTCTTTGCAATGCATTCCTCCTTTACATCATTTGAGTGAATTTCAAACACACTAAACGGTCGACCTTCATCTGGTTCCATGACATTTTGATTCGACTTCGAAGAAGTCTCACTATTCTCCATGTGCATTGGAAGAGCACAATCGTTCATTGACATCGGTTCGTCCTTTTCCAATCGATAGTCTCTGTATGTGGTACTTTGATGATATATTCTTACGTGTTTGTAGAAACTGGAAATCCCAGAAGTAAATACTGAACCACAGGTGCAGTACACCGTTTGTGTAGGAACTTTGGGAACAGTCCGAGGAACAAAAGAGTTCGTTACCGAAGACCCTAGTTTTGCCGCATCTTTTTTGTCTATTATTTTTTTGTGTTTAGATTTGTAGTGAGCCAAAATTGTGGTGACTTCACTACATTTTGTGCCACATGTTGAGCACTTGTAAATCATTCGGGTGTTTGAATGAAGCAATCGGATATGTTTTGCCAAAGATTTTTGGGATGCATAAGACCGATCACAGTACTCACATTCGAAATTTGCGTTTAAATACATGCTCTCTGTTTCTAGTTCTGACGCTTGTTGTATTTCTGACTTTACAATCTGATGACTATCCAAAGCTGCCACAATCTCTCGTAGACGAGCAACAGTGTATATGTTGTCTTGGTTTTCTTGACCTGTATAATGTATTTTTTCAAAAACTTTTCATATAAATGAGATATTTAATCGAATACTTACTATCGCAACTGCAATTTTCGAATTTTGGCAAAAATTGAATCCATCTGTTTGATCCAAAATTGACCGCTTCGGCTAAGTTGAAGCCTGCGTTGAAACCTTGATGGTATCCGCCGGATAATGTTATGACATACTGCCCGGGGTATTGAATAATCTAATAATATAATAATAATAAGAAGATTTAATTATTAGCACTACATGGAATGTATAATAAAATATCAAAGTCAATTATTTATTTCAAATAAAAACAGAATTGGCTCCATTCGAATTATTTGAAATTATATGGGATTGAGTAATGTAACATGAACAAATATGCCTGGATCCGAGCAAAGTTGAATTTGAATGGAATTGCATGATATTGAGTAATGAAATAGGAGGAAATTTTCATTTTTAGCTTACGCGGGTGAAACCAATGGCATTTTCTTCTAATATGGATGGCGGTATTAAAACGCATTTATGGCGAATATATTTTGAACAATCTGTGTACTTGTCCCCGCAAAATTGTTGCACCAATTTCTCCAGTGCATCATTATATTCCTCCGGAATGATATACCTTGGAATAAATAGAATAAATAATTTATTTTGGTAAAAATATTTACAATTGGATTATTAAATAATGTTTAATAATAAATGAATGTTTAATAGAAAATTTACCATATTTTTGGTGCGCCCGTGTGATTATAATTAACAGAGTTTAGGTCTCCGTCTTCCAAATGCAACCCAAATGCAGTTAATGGACCACCCATATAAAAATATGGTGTGTTAATGCCATCCATTTCCTTCTGATTAATCAATACAAATAAATCAGAATGGATAGTTTAGAAAAGAAAAGAAATATTAGATGAATTAGAATAGATTATTACCTCTCCGTGAATCAAAGATTCATTGGAGGAAAATTTTCCAAGATTCCACATATTGCAGTCATCTGAAAACCAGCTGCCTTTGTTGTCGGTCGCATATAATTTTTCTATTTTCAAATCTTGTGATTCCCAAGATTGCCAAAAGGCATCTTCAAATTGATTGATGGTTTTTAAATCCAGAACCGCTTCTAACTTCTTGGCGTTGTCTCTAAATTCCTTGAACTTCATAGACTTTCTGGTGTCATACGACAGGTCGAAGCCATCACCAAGATTTGTAGCAGTCTGCACCACTACACTTAATTTGAAATTTACTGGCACTTCTTTTGTACTGGGAGAGAACGTTTTGGGTGGAATAACCTATAAGACAATGACATTAGTATGGCTAAATCCAACCAATAAAACAATCAAAACAACTAATTTGAAAAGCAAAAACAACTGAGAACACAAAGAGAGACAAATTAAAATTAAATCAAATAGAAATATGAAAAATCCCAAACGCGAAAACATAATGCTAAAAATAACATTTTGCAATAAAATGTTAAGAAAAGGAAGGAACTTAGAACTAAAATGAACTCTTTGTCGCTCTTTGTAATATATCTGAACGTGCCTGAATCTAAGTTAGATAATCCCGTGAAAAAATACTTGCTTTTACACAGCTATGCCCCTTTTTTTCTAGATCTTCCACATATTTCTTGAAATTTTGGAACTGTTCAATTGATGGACGCAGAGTGCTTGATTCAAAACTTGATTTCACTTTTGACTGCATTTTCATTTCAATAGAACACAGATTTCACTAAAATAAATTAATTTATATATTTGATTACGTTATATCTATTTTAAATTAAAGCCTGCAAAAGTCGTTCTTCAATGTGCACATTTGCCGGCATTTTTTTGCAATGTGTTTCAATGTAAACAAACCGAAACAAACGTAAATGTGTCAAGCGAATGTCAAAACTACTACTTTATGTACTTTGTATTCTGGTACTTTGTGTGAGACTAAGCGAATGTTTTTGAAAAAAAACGGAACCAAAAAAAATGTGTATAGATTAAATAATGATGTAATGTAATAAATTTAATATGTTTCCAATTTAAAATCTACGAATATACATGTTTTTGCAATTGATTTCATACAATGAGTTGCACTCAATGCTTGGATCCAGGCATCGTCTATATGACGACAATATAACGATGATGCCTGGATCCAAGCATTGAGTACAACTCATTGTATGAAATCAATTGCAAAAACATGTATATTCGTTGATTTTAAATTGGAAACATATTAAATTTATTACATTACATCATTATTTAATGTATAAAAAATTTTTTGGTTCCGTTTTTTTCCAAAAACATCTTCATAGTCTCACTCAAAGTACCAGAAGTCAAAGTACATAAAGTTGTGTACATTCACTAACTACGCGCACTCATGGGGCACGTAGTTTGACGTATGGAGCACGTAGTGCTTCAGTTGCACTCCTTCGTAATAATCGCAATAATAACAACAACTATAACAATAACAATCGCAACAACAATAACAACGGTAACGGCAACCGCAACGGCGGACGTTACAATAACAACAACAACAACCGTAACAACAACGGCGGTAACACAAACAACAACAACTACAACAACAATCGTCGAAACGAACACACCATACATTTGGTGTAAGGAAACGAAGTGAATCCGGAGAACGGCGGACAACCAACGAATCAAGCATGAATACCGAACTAGAATCCCACAGGGTTCTACAAATTAACAATAATCTCTCAAACTTCGTCAAAATCCAAACAAATATTTCAAATCAAAAATCGATCTTCCTTATCGATACGGAAGCTTCGGTATCATTAATTAAAATAAATGCCATTCATAAAAATATAGACTACGATCATAACGACATAATAAAAATGACTGGGATCACCCGCCATCCTATTTTATCTCTAGGTTCATTTACATTAAGCATTGATGAACAAAATCAAACACTATCTCATAAGTTCCATGTAGTACCGAGTCATTTTCAAATTCCCGCATTTGGAATAATTGGAAAAGACTTTTGAGAACGCTTTAAATGCCTTATAGATTACGGAAATAATTCGTTCACAATTCGACCAAGGAATTCTGAACCAATTAAGTTAGATATAGATTCTGAAGTTTTACAGGGCGTGTCTGCTATACCAGCACGTTCCGAAAGTTTTAAGCTTTTTCATATAAAAAGCCAGACATTTCCTTGCGTCGTCGAAGCGCAAGAAATTCGTGAAACAATCGTCATACCTACAACCATTGTATACAAGCCAGAAGCTTGGATACGCGTCCTTAGTGTAGACGAAGATGTTAAATTAATTGAAACTGACAAACTTACCGCGAAATCTTTAAACGAATTTACGATCTATCGACCGGATAACGACAATGAAATTAACGACACACGAATGTCCAAATTGAAGGATGCAATAAAAACAAGAGTTCCGGGATTCGCGCGTAAACGACTCATTGATTTGTGTGGGGATTATTCGGACGTGTTCCACGTCGAGGGCGACACAGCCACGACGAACAATTTTTACACGCAACGTATAACCATGAGCGATAACACGCCGGTGTATACAAAAAATTACCGACTCCCACATGCACAAAAAGAAGAAATTCGAAAACAGTTTAAGATATTGCTTGAAAACGATCTCATCGAACTGAGCAAATCATCCTACAATTCACCACTCATCATTGTCCCAAAAAAGAGCACAGATGGCAAACCCAAATACCGTATGTGTATCGATTATCGTAAATTAAATAAAAACATAATACCAGATAAATTTCCATTGCCACGTATTGAGGAAATTTTTGAGGGTCTCGGTAGAGCGCAATATTTCTCCATTATGGATTTGCACTCGGGATTCCACCAAATACCGATTGAGAAAGACTCTCGCCATGTCACGGCATTCTCGACCGACAATGGCTTCTACCAGTGGAAAGTCCTGCCATTTGGTATAAATATAGCCCCTGCGTCATTCAGCAGGATGATGGCTATTGCTTTCAGTGGTTTACCACCTGAACTGGCTTTTATATACATGGACGACTTAATCGTCATCGGTTTTTCAGAAAACCAACATTTAAATAACCTCAAAAGCGTGTTCGGGGTCTGTAGAAAATACAACCTCAAGATCAACCCAGAAAAATGTGAATTTTTTAAACGGGAGATAATCTTCTTGGGTCACAACTGCACAGCCGACGGCCTAAAACCCGATCCAAAAAAGATAGCGGCTGTATCAAAATATCCAGAACCGCAAGATAAAGACGCAGTTAAAAGATTTGTTGCATTTGCAAATTACTATCGGCGCTTTATAGCAAATTTTTCACTAATCACGCATCCACTTACAAGATTACTCAAGAAACGTGTGGATTTCAAATGGACACAAGAATGCCAGCATGCATTCGACGAAATAAAACAATGTCTAACAACAACGCCAATACTTGCGTACCCCGACTTCAAAAAACAATTTCGTGTCACTGTCGACGCAAGCAATCTCGGCTGCGGCGCAGTGCTGAGCCAGATTGACGATGAAGGTAACGACAGACCGATCACCTTCATCTCAAGAACTTTTAAGGGGGGAGAACTAAACAAAGCAATCATTGAAAAAGAGCTTCTAGCCATACACTTTGCGCTAAAGTCATTCCGACATTATCTTTTCGGACAGAAATTCCTCGTCCTATCTGACCATAAGCCTTTAATTTATCTCTTTAAATTGAAGAATCCATCATCGAAATTGATGAGAATTAAAATGGATTTGGAGGAATTCGACTTCACGATCGAACACATAAAGGGAGCAGATAATGTGGTAGCGGACGCGTTATCACGTATCTCAATCAAAGACCTTGCTCAAACATATGAAGAAAATCAAATTTTTAAAATCGAAGTCTCTCCAACCAAAAGAACAACAAACAGGGTACAAAAAACTAAACATATTCGCGAAACAAAGACAATCCTTGCTTTCACAAGATCCATGGCGAAAAATCGTAACAACACAACGAACGTTACCACATCAGAAATCGACAACGTCGACATAAATAATACACACGTATTTGAAAACATGACTCAAACAAAGAAAAACCCACGCGTGCGGATTACAAGCTATACGCTTAATAACGAAGGTACAGCTACAAGTCTCACACTTACTGCCTTCCAGAGTCATCGAAAAATTTTCGAAATAAAACTGGGCCTCGACAACGAAAAAGTTACGTTAAATACTCTTCTTTCGACACTTCAAAGTGTAACGAGTGCCTCGAATATTAAAATAATCGAATGGCCAATTCATGATTCAATTTTCAAAATGAGCACACTTGCTGAATTCAAAGCTGCAGCTAACAAACAATTACGGGATCTCGACATTCACTTAATAAACACACCAATTAAAGTAGACAACATTGACGAAAGAAGAAAACTCATTGACAAATATCACACAGACGAAATTTACGGAGGACATTGCGGCCAAAAGAAAGTTTTTGCCAAACTGAAAGATCAGTTTTACTGGCGAAACATGTCCAAAGATATTGCGAAATTCGTTAAAAACTGCGAAACGTGCAGATTATCGAATCCAAAGAGAAAGACAAAAGAAAGGATGACGTTGACAAAAACACCTTGCAAACCGTTTGATATCGTACAAATCGACACAATCGGTCCAATGCAAAAATCAAACCAGGATAATATTTACGCTGTTACACTAATAGACGAAATGTCTAAATGGTTAACAATAATACCCGTAAAAACGAAAACTGCACTGGAAATAGCAAATGCTATTTTCAGAAAACACATACTTCTATACGGTCCCATGAAACTGCTAAAATCAGACAGGGGTACCGAATATGTCAACGAAATAATCGCGAAATTATGCGAATTATTAAAAATCAGCCACAACACGTCCACTGCCTATCATCATGAAACAGTTGGGCAAGTTGAAAGAAGTCATAGAACTTTAAATGAGTACTTAAGAAAGTATCTCAATGGAAAACTCGACGAATGGGACACATTCACAGAGTACTTCCAATTTCTATATAACATAACCAAAAACACGACACTTAACGACACCTACAGTCCCTTCGAAATCGTGTACGCAAGAACAGCGGACATGCCACACGAAATTTTCAACGGAGACGTAGACAAAAACTACAACATTGACGACTACGTGAAACAGACAAAAATAAAATTACAGACAATATACCAAGAGACAATAGCATTGATTGACAAAATGAAAAAAGGAAACAAAAACAGACTAGACAAAACAGCAAATCCGATCAAACTTAAACCCGGTGACATTATCAAAATTCAGAAAGAACCATATGAAAAATTTCGTTTCATATACGACGGTCCA